TATGAAATAAAAAATATAATATGCTGTACTGATTGTTCCATATAATTGAGTTTTTATTGGGCTCATGTATGATAAGTGAGGGACTTGGGGATGTTTCAAGTTCTACATATGCTATTAGTCCCTTAATCTGTATTTAATCATATAATCCCCGATTAATCATATAATCCCAGATTAATCACTCGCAAATATTTATTAAATTGACAAGAAACAAAGGAGAAATGTCCCATGTAGGAACAGTACCAGTCATAATTAGTGGTCAAAATTAATGTCCCAAGAATTAATAGAAATGCTTTGCTACTGAGATAATACAGGATAATGGTACAGTGATATATTATTTTTGAATGATGTTGTCCATGTATGAACTTTAAGCGACCCCATTATCATCTGAGAGGGGAGTGAGGTCAGTGCTGTACAATGTCTTTGCTTGTTGGGTTTTCTAAATTTTTTTACGGAAAAGGAAAATATGTATATTTGTGATTGCAATTTAATAAAGTGATAAGCACAGTTAAAAGTAGAGTCAAAGATAATTAATCCCTTTTGAGTATGACAAACTCTCCAATACTTTCCCTTGAGATATTTTTTTGGTAACGCATACAGTTTCAACACCTGATAAAACAAGATTTTCATAGATGGTAATTTAAGGAGGACATACTAAAATATCATAAAAAATTAGAATTTTATGAATCTTATTTTCTACATTTTAAGGTCACAGATAATATAAATGTCCAATGCCCATGATGGGAAGATAAATCTTACTTATTTACACTGAAGAACAGTTTTGACCACCATCAATGTTTTGGATATATATGATGAGGGATATATGTTAACGTGTCAATCAAGTCAGATTTCATACATGAATTTCTGGTATTTCCATTCACTTTAGCATATTTATAACATGCCTGTTTACACTATTCCTTGCTTATTCCACTCTTTCCCCTGTCATATATTTTATAAAGAAAGAAAATCCTCAAAGTTTATCGAAACAGTTAGGGGATTCTCCCATAGCATTGATGGGGACTGATACCATAGCAACGTATCAGACAACAGTAAGTGACATCCTGGGAACACTTTATATCAAGGGGGAGATATAAATCCAACCATTTGGAATCAGTTATCAGAAAATTGTTATCTGTATGTCTAGTTAAACACTCAAAAGTACAAATCTTTATCTATTGATAAAAGGGAAATTCAAGTGGTTATAAACAATGTTTCATGATTATGAAATTTATAACTAGAACGAATGAGCTCTTATATCCTTTGTATTTTGATTATTTTGTGGACTCTTATGACATAAAAAATATAACAAGATATTTCACATATAACATTTTTGTGTGGTTCCAGTGCCGCCTACCATAGTAAAGGCGCCCAGGTCTGTGCTGGTCAATGAAGATGAGAGTGCAGTGCTAAGCTGCAAGGTCTCTGCTACACCCTACCCTGTTACCACCATCACTTGGATAAAGGAGGGAACACCCCTTGCAGTGAGTAGCTATATGATATCAAAATTTGGTCCGGTTGAGATAGTCTTGCACCAAGCCTCTGTCATATCCCAGACTACAAAACCTACATATAGTGAACACATATGGAGCCACATGAATGTGTTCACTGTAGCTAGGTGTTCACTTAAGAGAGAGTATTTTATACAGAAGTGTATGGAATAAGCATCAAGAAAGTGTTCACTAGATACAGGTGTTCACTAGAGAGAGGTGTCCACTTTGCCAGGTTTTACTGTATTTTCCAAAATTAAAAAGGGAGAAAGTGTGTATACAAGTATTAGTGGGGGACACAGAAGGGACCAATGCAAGACTATAAGAAAGTGGAAAGTATGAGTCTAACAAAACGATTTTTCTATGAGGATGCATAAAATATAATTTAAGATTGGCATGTTAAATGCTAATGATATCATAGCATATTATGCCATGGCTACAATTTAATGTTCTGATCAAATTAAAAACTATCTAAGGCCATGTGTAAAATACAAATCAGTCAAGATACTTCCAAACTTCCAATAATTCAAAACTTGGAATGAAGTCAGTATTTAGACAAAGACATATTGAACCATTCATCCTGTCCGACCAATTCCAACATGGAAACAAGAAGTTTGTGGCTAATCTAGCATAACAAATCTGGAAGACATCATTTCTAGAAATAATCTCAAGGTATTTTTCTTGGTTGAAAAAATGGACAAGTTGCTCATGTATAAAATAGAGTGTTAATGGACATATCAGATATGTACTGGACATGTTGTTGGTTCACCATGTTTTCCTTGGCTTTCCCAGTGTTTTTGTTTCACTGAAATGACTGTGTTAGATTCAGCGAACTGTGTTAGATTAACCTGTGAAAAGAACATCCTGGGTCATGATTTTAATTGGAAAATAAAGAGGAATATAAAGGAGTTAACAAGGAATGAAGTTAACAGGGATAATGTTAACATTATTAATTATATGATAATGTACGAATGTTAGATGTTTTATTTCAAATTTATTGAGAGAATGATGAATTTATTTAGTGAGGACATATACTTTTTGTGAGATTCAGTCTCATCAGGTTGTCATTTCGTTCCTTCCCAAAATGATTTCACAGATTTAGTTTCTAGATAAATATTTTAGAATGTCATGCTATTTTGCACTTTTTACAAGGCTCTGGCTTCAGGAGAGCTATTTCATGGTCAATTCCCCTCTGTTCCATGCTAGGCTAGACATGTGATGAAATGATAGAGTATTTCAAATATTGTAATGTTAGAGCTGAATGTAGTAATATCCATAGCTGAGTGAAACCTGTCGATAACATACATTTTATTACAATAGAGCCATTGAAGTATAAAATTAATTAAATTTTAGATATGAAATTGAAATTGTTTGGTTTGCTATCTGATTAACTATTGTTTTATTAAGCTGCTATGCCGTGATGCATCCTATACAGCGACATCAATATATTTTATCTGTTACCTGCCTTTTACATTCTGGTTTACCAGTCCCTCTCTTATCTAAACTTAGAAAAGTTCAAGACAATGGGAGTGCGGGTGTTTGCGATATGCCTTTTATCTAACTCTATTTTTGTGCATCTGTTAAATATATGCCAGGAACCAATCAATACAATGGACCATGTAACCATTGTTCCCTGTATATGTTTGAAGCCCTGCAATGTGTGTTTTGAGTATATGCCCTGTATCCATAATAAATATACCTTCTTTAAGGCCTGTGACCATTATAAATTAAATATATGCCCTTAACTGTTATCAAGCAAACAGTAATAATATGCCCTTTAGCTTTTAGTAATTGTCCAGTTCTCAATACATACCCTGTACGCAATGGATATATGCCCTATATCTATTCAAAATGAGCACTGTCTGTATTTAGCATACAATATACTGTATGGCTTTCCATTGACTTTCCCCAGTAAACAATGAACATATGCCCTACTGACATTGAATATAAATACCCTACATTGAGTTAATTGACCATGTTGTAAAATAATTTCAATCAATAAATCAGTCATATCTAAAAGTGAACAGCATGACAATGAATGATTTCAGATTTCATGCTTGGCTTTAATTATCCCAGAACAGATAATTTGCTGGAATAAACAAAACTGTCATGTTTATATAGATACCTACATGATGTGTTATGTTACAACCACAAACTCTGGCTAATGGGATAAAGAGATGGGATTGTTTTCATGGTAGTTGTTCAGCAACAGAGCATGGCATCTATCAGATATGTCTGGGCTGCTCAAGTCCTGCTTTACATCCTTTACATACTGATTTATCCCGTTACAAGTTTATTTAGTAGACATTTTCCAGGTTGGATTTCAAACAATGGAAGAAATGAACTGACTTCATCTATTTGCATTTTTTTTTTTTAAATGTTAATATGTCTTGGGATTTATGATTATTTTATATTATTAGTATTTGCAGGTTTAAAAACTTGAGTTCCATGAGATTGAGGTTATAAGATTGAGGTTATAAGTTATATTTTATTTATTTTATTTTCAGGCCAATAAAATGAGATATAACATCAACTATGAGACAGGTGTGTTAAGGATCTCTCACGTGCAAGTTTCAGACAAAGGCAACTACGCATGTCTCGTCAACACAACAGGTCACCCTTTTGTCACATCCACCAATGGATATGTGAATGTAAAACGTAAGTGTAGAATGTGTCATTAACATCTGAGCAAACATTGTACAGACATCGCAAAACATGTACAATGTATATAAACAAATGTACTTTACACATCCAAACATAATTGATCAAATGCTGACTGGAAAAGAGGAAAATATTATATCACATGCCTAACATCCATATGTACAGTATATAATAAAAAATAAAGTATATAAATAAAATATATAGAAATAGTTACATGTGGTTTATTTTTGATTTTTTTTAATTTTTCAGAGAAACTGAAGTTCAAGCCCAAACCTGTGAACACTAAACTTGAGAAGGATTCTAATTCAAAAGTGCATTGTAACGCAGAGGGTCAGACAACTCCTGTAGTACGCTGGCTCAAGGGAGGTAACCTTGTCTTCCCAGAGCACATCCGAGATGAAGGAGGTATACTCCATTTTGCGGGAGTGAAGTCTAGTGACACAGGCTACTACACATGCGTGGCTACGAGCTCTACACAAGGGATTATAAATGCTACCATATACATAGATGTTGTTGTCAAACCAAAGTTCAAAATCAGACCTAAAAACACAACTGCCTATGAGGGATATCCCATGATGCTTCACTGTGTTGCTATTGGTGACCCAGCTCCCACAATCCAATGGGATAAGAACCAGAAAGTGAATGCATTTGACCTGAAGAGGTTTAAAGTAAGTCAGTACTTATTCACTGAACATCCATTAATAGAAATTCAAAGTGATAATTTTTAAGTTGTACAAGAACTTGTTTTACTTGGAGTTTTGTTGGTCTGTCAAATTTTTCATCTTAACATCTTATGTATGCATTAAGGTAAGCACACCTCTATGGAAGTAAAGTAACAGGAGCTATCCACGAGCCTTGAGCAAGTTTTTTGCATAAGAATATCAAAATGATGAGAGATCGTTATCATCTTATGAAAACAGGAAAATATTATTTAAAAACCCACGCTTACATAATTAGTTAGTCAGTTTGTTCACCGATCCTATAATCTGAGGATGTATAATGATAATGATAACAAAGCAAGTGCCAAACATGTGTTATATTGCCAAAAATTGATATTGCTAAGATAAGTGAGAATGCTAGTCTTTGATCAGTGATGTTCAGTTATAATTCATTTTGACATCATATATTCAAACAGTTCAATAAAATGGATATCTATCATCTATGCAATGCAAGTTGCCGGTAGATACCTGTTTGGAATTTTGGCAGACCTAGCAGATAATCAAATCTTATTGATAGTTTGTACTAGATGATTAATTGATAATCATTATTACTGAAATTGACTTGGCATCCATATATGATTTTCCATCCAAGAAATGTTGATGATATTTCATCGTTGAAGTCTTTACATATAACATTTGTACAATGTAATGATTAATGAATAAATTGTTCTATGAATGTATAAATGTTCATAACTCTAGTTGATTGTCATTTATGAAAATACATTCCATCTGTCTTTTAATAAGATTAAAATCTGAGATTGAATATATTTGAATTTGATGATAAATAAGTTGTTGTTCGCTTTTTCATAATATTATAATATTCCCAAAATTCTGTCCACAATGTCATTGGTTGAGATGAAAAAGTGCAAAATAGAAATACATTTTAACAAAGAAAAATGTATGTTATTGTAAGTTGTGTTCAACAATTATGTACATTGCTATAATGTACTAATATGGTACCATTATTATCATTGATGTTTTTATATACCAGTATGTGTTCACATGTTCAATGGGACATGGTTTTATACATAAAAGGTAAAGATGCCTTCTTCATGTGACTGGCAAATATGGCTATGAGGCCTTTCTCATCTTAACATTATTAAATAAGTACATGTGTTCTCTATTGCATTCTAGGTACTGAACAATGGTTCCCTATATGTATCTGAGGTGCATTTGGATGACAGAGGCAAATATGGCTGCACTGCTGGCAATAGAGGAGGCTTCCAGAGAGAGGAGATATTTGTAGATGTCGCTAGTAAGTACCTCTGAGATGGTTCCTCATATAATTTATGTGAAATTCTTGAAGTGGGTGGGTGCTAGGTAGTTAGGTATAGGTATACCAACTCTGAGGCCCAAGTTTAGTTTGTTTAGTTTAGTTTATTTATTTATTTATTTATTTAATTATAGTAGTCAGTTTTATGATTCAACAAAATATGAAAAATCACCTAGCCCACCTTGGGCTTATTAACCACCGTCAACAATAGCAAATACAAAATCTTTGCTACTTTACTCTACACACAACCAATAACATAAAAAACACTTTTGTGTATTGCTTTTGTGTATGTATCTTCCAGGTGCCGATCAATACTTGAGGGACCAGGAAAGCAAACAGGATGATGCTATGAACATGATGAAGACCATCCTAATAGCTGTGTGCAGTGCTGTTGCCTACCTAGGTCTGGTCCTTGGGCTGACCATATACTGCAGTCTCAGGCTCATAAGGGCTAGGAAATACAGAAGGCAGATGCAGGCAACAAGTGAGATTTACATAACTCATAACTAACTCTGAGCAGTTTGGACCAGTTCATTTGTTAAACATCTATGGTTATTTTTCATTCAATTAGAGTAGAACTTGTCTAATCCATATGCCATGGAGACCAGCAAAAAGTGTTCTTATTGACAGGTGTTCACATTTTGAGGTTTTTAAGTGGAACACCTTTGGGACCCCTGAAAACTGTACCACTTGGGAGTGTTGCACTTCATTTGAGATTTATTTAATGTTAAGTCTTTGAACTCTGAAAAGTGTCCACTTACAGAGGTGTTCCACTTCTAGAGGTGTTCCACTTTGTAGGTTTCACTATAAACATTTGAATCATGAGTAACTCAATTTAACATGCTCATATTGCTTAATAGGTAAAGGTGAAAATGGTGATGCGAACCACACAGCTGAGCAAAAGGAACACATGCTCCCTAAGGCAGAAGATATGAACCATATCAACCATGTGAACAACATAAACTGTAGCATGAACCAGATGTCAAGCAACAGCCAAATGAATCACCATTTAATTAAGATCGACGGAGGTGACACAAACTCTCATATCTCTCTACCATCGTCAACCCAGCAGTCACATACATCATCAAGTAATTCCCGAGCTCGGAGAGGAAGTTACGATCGTTGGCAGTTTCCCAGACATGACCTTGTGACTTTAGGAATGCTAGGTGGGTGCAACTTAAAAGTTATGAATCCATTATCAATTTTTTGGCATTTAATGAACTAATTTGTCACCCATTTAAGACATATTTCTAGATTAAGGAAAACGTTTTCCTGAAATTATTGAAATACGTATTGAGCATTTTTGTGATCAAGATATTTGTAATATATTCATAGGCAAGGGAGAGTTTGGGGATGTATTCTTGGCCAAGGCTTGTGGAATTAAGGATGGACATGATGAAACACTGGTCATGGTTAAGTCACTCACCAGTAAGGATGAACACCACCATTTCCAATTCCGTGCAGAGATTGAAATGTATAGCAAGTTGAGCCACGAGAATGTCGCAAAACTACTTGGGGTGTGTCGTGAGATGGAGCCACAGTTCATGATAATGGAGTATTGTGATTGGGTAAGCTTGGAACTTTATTGAAACTTTTATTTGACACTGTATCTTTGGGATGATAAATGAATATACATGAAGAAATTGTACAAAAATTAGACTATAAAAAATTTCACTCTTTACTTAAAAAACGATTTATATGGAAATACTTTACACACAACTGATGTTGATGTATATCCCAACACAGTGGGGTTGGTGTGGTCATGGAAAATGTTCTAATTCTACTTAAAGATATATACTATATATTGTATATCTAACGGCATGGAAATATTATTTTTAGGGTGATATGAAACAGTTCCTTGCCGCGATGAAACGAGATTCAAACCGTAAGTTGACATTGGCCCAGAAGATAACAATGATGAACCAGGTTGCCATGGGGATGGAATGTATTGCTAACCATCGTTATGTTCATAAAGATGTCGCAGCTCGTAATGTCCTCCTGTCGTCAAACCTAGATTTAAAAGTTGCCAATCTGAGCCTGTGTCACGATGTGTACTCAGAGGAGTACTATTTATACCGCAATAATTATGTTCCACTACGTTGGATGGCCCCTGAGGCTTTATTAGAGGATGAATACTCTACAAAAAGTGATGTATGGGCATTTGGCGTGTTTATATGGGAGGTATTGACTCTTGGTGAAGTGCCTTTTAAACGTAGGACAAATATGGATGTTCTCCAAAGTTACGAGCAGGGCACGGATTGTCGGCCGGAGCCCTTACAGCAATGTCCAGAGGAACTTCATACACTTATGAACACATGTTGGTGTAACAGTCCAAAAGAGCGGCCATCATTCAGCGAGATATCTATCAAATTCAGTGAAATGACCATAGACAGTGATGTGTAAGGCATGGGAGCTGAACCAGACATGATAGTATTATTAAAGATGGAGCTTAGGCCGGTGCTGACATCTAGTGAGCATTGGCCGCCTGGTTCTATCAGCAGATGGCTTTGCTGCCATCTAGTGAGCTTTTGTCTTCTGGAACATTTGGCAGACATCAGTGCTGACATCTAGTGAATGGTTTAGCACTGCCATCTAATGTATTCTGGAAATGGTCGGGCTCAAACAATTGCCATACTGCCACCTAGTGAGTGATCTTAGCAGACAACTTGTCTACTGTCATGCCACTTAGTGGAAAAATATGACCAGAGCCAGTAACCAATCAGCAATAGGACGACATGGATCTGAACATAACAGTACTCGAAGCCATAAAATGGTGGATAACATCTATATACATGTATGTGTACTTAGATACTTTTAAATTATCTTTTATATATAAATTTGTGTAAATATAATGCACATTTACCTGGATGTATACAGGGAAAGTGTTTGTAGGAACTAGTGTAAAATATGCGCTATTATGTTAAGTAGACAGGTAGAGTGTCTATGGCGAAAAATACTCTAAAAATTGTTAGCAACCGGTGCAACAGGGTCTTTATTGTACTGTACAAGATTTGAAATCTGTTTCATTTGAAAAAAATTGTATTATTTTATTACATGATAATTCGTTATTAATAGAATAACTCATTATTAATATTATAATGCATTTTTTATTTGATACTGAAATGATAAACTGAATTTATTAATAAGTGAGATGCGATGAAAAAACGAATTGAAGATTAATTTCTGTATTAAAGTGTTTTGAATAATGCTACAGTATGGCTTAAACATTGGTAGTCTCAATAATTGGATAAAACTTCATGAATTATCAAAACCATGTGTTTTATTTGTGTACTGTAATGTACAATTTAAGGGGCAATATTTGAATGTACATTACGATTTTACGAAATGCAGGGATATTTATTATTTTTCCCGTATCCATTTATTGAGATTACCACCTCATTTTCGCCCAGATGATATATACATGATATGGCTTTTAATGTAACATTTTCTATGTTAGAAAATTGATTCTACAAATATGGCATTTGTAATATTTATTGTACATAATCCATTAGTTATTAGTGTATTGTATAGATGGCGATAATAGATAAAATGTATTGCATTCTGGGAGATTTGTGTGTACATATTGATATTACACGATATAAACATAGATGTAAGGAAGCTGATTGGTGGCTTTTCATAATAAGCAATATGTTTAAACAAACTGTACCTTGCGATGTTGTCGGTTATTTGTGGCAAATTTCTGGAAGATTCTACGTAGATATGTAATAATCTAAAAGATCCAACTATTTATTGAAATCTTCTAACATTGTCATGAACAATATGATGTTTTAGAGCATTTTACACTTTAATTTTAGAAGATATTAGATACGGTAAATGCAATTGCTGACATTTCATTTGATTTGTATTTTTGAAGGACATTTACTGTTGGAGGAGACTCCATTGGAGTTTTCAGCAGTATATAGTTCCTTTAAAAGAAAAGTCGAGAAGAAATAACAGTATTTACTTGTAGACATTTTAATAATTTCACATTTTCAGAGAACTTTTAATGCTCATTTTACATTTAGAAATCCAAATCGAATAGGTTTCTAGCTTTTTAACAAGAAATCCATAAATGTATAAACCTTGATTGGTAGAATTTGAACTTGTAACATACTAAATGTACTTGTAATTTCATCAATATTTTAGTTCACTAAAGCACGATTGTCATATACATGTATGCATTTGTACAGATTTGCTAAAAAGTAAAACATGTACATTTATTTGTTCTTAGATATCAACTTAACACAATGGGAAAGGAAAAAGCTAAGAAATATTAGAAAACATGGGAGGAATTCAAACATGCAGTATGATTGTATTTCTATATCTGGACATTTTCTTGCTTTGATATTTTCTAAGATACATATACTGTAGATTGGAGATGTTCACGACCTGATACATTTTCTGGCCTCTATTAAACCAAACTTTGTATTTTTTATTTAGAATAGTTATATGTGAGATTTTATCACTTTAGAAAGCTTGTGCAATATATGATGGTAACGAGGCCTTTGTGTTTTCCCTTAGTTTAAATAACAAAATGAATTAAGTGTTCATTAAAATGTTTGGTCAGTCTGGATTATTTGCATTTGTGTTTTTAGGAAAATGACACATTTTTTAAATGTTGTGGATGTGTGAATTATCAATGCATTCATAATAGTTGACACACATTATTGGACACACATAATGTGATGGACACATTTCTGCAGTTTAAGCAGGGTAATTAGTAGAAATAGTAGATTGTTTTAGAAAGTTCGTTATTTTTATTTTCATTTTGCAATTGCAGAATTTGATATTTGTATAAGGCTCATAAATATAGTAGATGTCAAATCAACCTGTTTTGAGGCTGATTTTAGGAAAAATAAATCCGTTCTTAGTTGTTAAAAAGTAGGGTTTTCGGTTGAGAGATTGTATGTATTTTGTTTGGATCTAGAAGACTCAAAGACAGCTCCCAATCTAGCAAAAACATTGAGTTGCAGTTTTGTCCATCCACAGCCTATAAGTTCAGCCTAATGCAGAACCTCAAGATATAGCTCTAATTGACCTGATTTTCCAGTTATTTACCTTATGGGATTACTGGTAATATATTGCATCAAATTGGGCTTGCTTGGGATTGTGTACTAGTCTAGACTTAACCCAGTGTTTTGCATTTCTGTGGCATTCTTAAGTCATAAGTTCCTTGTAACCATGGAAATCTCAACATCATAGTCGTTAAAGAACAATGAATGAATTTCTAAATTTAAGAATGCTCACATAAATTCATCACTGGATAGCAACTTCAGGCTAAATAATTTATAAAAATTTGTGTCTTATGTGTATAATTATAAGAAGCCCTAATAAAGTGCAGAAGCATGTCTAGTAGTTACTAGATAGTATCTCTCATCGAATGAGCTTCATTTTTGTCTTAGTTGTTAATTGGCCACTATATGTACCGCATAAGGATCTGTATGGAATATGTCTACAGTGATAACATTATGTATTAAACATAATACGTATTTCTACATGTATATAGCATGTATTAAATGTAACTTTTTAAAATAAAATGTCATAGATACTGAAGTATTGTTATTCCTCTAATTTGCTATTCCGAAGTAGTTTTGTCACTTTGAGTCAACACAGTTGCCCATTTGTCTGATCACACATTTGTCAAATAATGCTTAGACAAATGAAAACTGTCTGTCAACCAAAACAATACTTATATATTCATTCTGTGGGGCTACATGCAGGTAATTTACACTATAACCCCGGCAGTCACCTACTTGTCTTATATGACCATCCATTTGACAAATTCTTGGACTAATGAAAACTACATTCCTCTGAGTCTTGACCAAATGCTCATTTCCATTTTATGGGGGTACATGCAAATAATTTTAACCATTAGCCCCAGCTCCTATTTTTGACTCATTTTAAAGAAATCAGTTTCCCCACCATGTGATCCCACTTACTCACTGTAATACGCCAGTGTCATGATTTAATCATTCAGTTATATTATGTCACCACCATGAGTGGTGACATATTGTTAGATAGTCTCTAACTTTTTTGTGGACCGTGTTTGCCAGTCAGAGGTATCTGTTACAAATGCAGGTGGTGACATTTTGCATGCTAATGCCTTATTACTTGGTTTATGGAGAAAGTAATCGGTACTTGAATTTATTGGTTGTTTTTTTCGCCTCAAGATTTCCAATAATCTAATATTTCCTTTTCCTCTATTTGGTATCAATCTGTTAGAATTTTAAACCTAAACATCAAAAAGACATGAAGATGTTTTGGTGTCACCAAGAAATGGTGACATATTGTTTAGTCTTTATTTAAAAGTGTACAATGTTCTGAATATGAGCAATAAGTCTATTTCTCCCCTAAAACTAAGAATGGGATCATGATTTCATCCTATAACCATACATCATTGAAATCATTCTACGGTCAAGTGAAAGATGTTAGGACGTTTTCAGAACAGATATTGATCCTGTGAATAAGTTGTTCTGAAGTTCTGGCGAGCATATGCTGGATTTAACACAACTATAATATAATGTAAAATCTCATCAATACATTTTATTATTCTCTATAAAACTTAGACATGATAAACATATATGTATAAATAATCTGATGTACAATTAAATCATTTGCTCCAAAGGGGGTCATGATTTGAAAGAAAATAGGGGACTATTGAAATTCACCTTTTGTAATCAGACAATGAACTAAAATGTATGTATGTTTTTCTTCATTACATATCAAAGTAAAATAATGCCCATAAAAATAATAAAAATTGTGTTCATGAGTCCTTACATGTATGAAAGAAATATAAGAATAACATATTTCACATTGTGCTTAATACATTCAATCAAGTCATGACCCCCTCATCTACCACAAACAATATCGCAATCTGAATAACTCATTTTAAAAGCAGAGACTAAGTAATAAGCATAGCTCATCATTATGTAGAGCCAACTCTTGTCATCGGTTCATTTCTCAAAAATTGTGAATTATGATTCATCAAAATAATTTATTTTTATACAATAGTGCTATTGTAGGGAGAAAAATTAAAGTACCATGATTGTGTTGAACAATATTTTTGAGTCTCATGGAAAAATTCCAGTTGATGGCATTACATTTTGCATTTGATAATCTCATATGAACTTATATTGGTTCATTAATATGTACATAAGCAGACATACAATACATGGTAGAATTTACAAACAACAACAAAATTAACAAATATCAATCTAATGATTTAATTTAGAACAGAAAGCTGAACTGATTATAATGCACCCATTTAATACCCAACTTCAGCATACGTGTTAAAACAATGGAATGTCTATATGTATAATAATATAAAACAATACTTGATAATTTCACCATACCACACTACTTTATTGTGAAACTTTTTCAAAACTTAAGTGCTCAAGTTTTTTAATACAGTTTTTAACCCCCCCCCCTTGTAAAGCCAAGGTAAGGTAGCAATGGAAGAAATACATTTCTTAGTTGTGGCACAACTTAAAATGGACCCATTTGCAAATATTATATAATTTGAAGAAACTGATGCACTTGAATTTGAAAAATCGAGATCATATACCCAACTACTCTCTACACAAGGACGGATGGACTAATAAATATCAGTATATACAAATCTCTATCTAAAATCATATCAAAACCTTTTCACATAAAAAATATGTGATTTCTTTATACATTAATATATACATAATATACATATGTTATATAATATAAAATGTAAATACATCTAGTATGCACTGGGACATTATAATGACCCAAGAAAATGGCATATGAATCTGGCATTTTGGAATGTTTGCATCATTGCGAAATCACATTTACTTTGTACTTTTCATACACAATTTTCTCAGAATAACATCCACTCATTATATGGACCAAGGAGATTTTCTTGAAGGTACTTTCCAGTCAAAAAACCACGGGCTGTTTATAACAAGGGGAACTTACATGTAGGCCCGACACTTTCATTTAATAAGCCATGGGTTTATTATGAGAAAAATCAGTAATTACATGTACACCCTTCATAATATTGTCCTTGTACATTATATTTTATACAACTGAAAAATACTAATGAATTAAATTGAATTATCATATTTCTGTGCTAAAATATATTGGCACATTAATAAAGCACTTATAATATAGATCATTCTCACAGATCTAACATAATTTTCCTGGTTTTCCTACTATATTCCATTACATCTGGAATGCATATTTCTAAATAATATTTGTAAATATATTAGTTTGCAGATCATTTTCTATTCAGATCACTTCTCCATCAGATCATTTAAAGAAATCAATTCAAAAAAGTTTGAATAGCCTCCCAAAATAAAAAGCTAACTTCTTATATAGCCTTCAATGCTATGTTTTTGAATAACCCTCAAAGAGCTTAATTTTACAATTATCTGTTAGTATACTACAATGATAAAATAATATTGATATACATGTATATATCATATCATTACAACCCTGTTATGACATAGCATTTCAAGCGCAGAAGCTTGATATAAAAACCAAATCTTCAAAATATCTTGATATTATTTTACATTTGCATCTTATATTCAATTTAAATACATCTTTTTTGAGTGGCTCGGAATCATGGAAATCACATTTATATTTGCCTGTTATACCCTAGATTAGGCTTAGCTAGATACTATATTGTACTGTTGGACAATGTGTGTTATGTTTTTACTATCACAGCCTATTTACTTGCAATTAGTTGTTTATTCCTTATACTCGTACATGTTAATCTAATGCTGCTATACCCACTCCACTCCTCACTAATGTTAAACTGTTCTATTCCTTCCACTTTGAGAGTGGAACAATGATTGCTGAGAAAAGATTCTATATTCTAGTGGATACAACATTTCCGGATCTTTACTCTTGTACTGTTGGAGTTAAAGGTGTGTATCTGGGAACATGATTTGCTCCTTAGTGGCCATCATGCTATATCCTGCCCCTGTAGAACTTGCAAGATCATCCTCATACTGTAAAAGACAGACAAACACACATAAATAATAAACAAAAGTTAAACAATTGAACACCACAAGAATGTCAATTTAACCATGGATTGAAACGTACATGATTTTATCGAGGCATTATTGCTCATGAATGGTCAATTGTTGCTTTAAAGTGGTCACACTTAGAAAATAGCTTTCTCCAATGAATGTGTTATTTTTAGCTTCGTAATCATGTCGACCGATGCTCCCCGTGGAGCTTTACTCCATTGTTCTCACATTGCAATCTTTTGAACATATTGAAAATATTGTTAAGGCTTAATTCACTTACTGCCATGCTAACAAGGCCACTGTCATTAGGAATATGTCCATCCCAAGCAGGGTCATCTTCATCATCCCATCGTGATGACTTTGACATCCTATCATCATACACCAGATCTATAAGACTGGCACGATCACTGCGTGTCGCAACCGACCTCTGGCTTGCATAAGCTGGATTAATATATCCCGCAGTTGGACCAGATTGCTGAGCTATACTCCCAGGACTTTGGCTCGGGGGACGAGGAATCTCTGTAGT